CAAACACTTACTCATGTAGCGGAACGTCTCCTCGGCCAGTATGGGGGAGATGGCACTGTGCGGGCCGGGGCCTTCGTCCGGAGAGCAGCTCGGGGAGACCACCCAGTCCTGGCTGTCCGACAGGTAGACGGAGCCGGCCGAACCAGAGCCCAGCGAGCCGGAGCCATAATGCCTCCCGCTGCTGCCCAGCCCCTCATCTGTGGGTTGGAAGACAGAAAAAGTATAATCCAGGATCCTTTTCATTATTATTACTTTCACTGCTGACAAATCAAGCATTTCTTAGTTTAAATAAATTATCTTCTATGTTGTAAACCAAAAAGCCCAAATGAAACAGGGAGATAAAAGCAACCAATGGACATCCTGCTGTATCAATCTTCTCAATCTAAACTGCTTGCAAGAAAAGCCCCTTTAACTTTTGGCTAGCTGGTTAATTATGACCAACAACTGACATTATGCAATGTTGCCATAATCTACACCTAAATTATTCCACTGCCTGGGAGGCCATAATCAATAATACTATAATACTGTAACACAGGTCACACATTATATTGAAAACAAAGCAAGGTTTCACCATGCTATCATGTAGCACAATGAAAATACCAAGTAAATGAATGATGGGGGATGCTTTTATTTTGTTAAACCAGTGCAGCTCTGGTGTGATAAAGAATGTCAGACTGCAGTGAATGTGTTTGGAGAGCAACTGTGGCCTGATGAAGCATGTGAATGTATGTATGTGTGTGTGTGTGTGTTCGTGGCTCAGGCACTGTACAAGCCGGTGTCCTTCCACTTGAGCAAACATGTGGTTCACTGGGACAGATGGGGCTAACTATAGCATCGAGCCCAAAGACACAGCATACTGTACTTCAGGGCAGCATGACATTGGCAGAGCATCGTTTTAAAAAACGTACAGACCCCTCACAGTTACCACACTGCGGCCTTTGAGACGGAGATATTTTACTGGTAACGTTGCATGTTACAGCGCAGACACACTACCTGTCTCCGTGCTCGACTCCTTCTTCTCCACCGCCCGGGATTTGGCTTCGAACATGTCCTGTCCTTGGAGCGGGAGGGGGTCCCCGCTCGCAAACACAATGCTGGACAGAAAATGGCTAGCGCTGTGACATCACATCCTGTTCCTGCACTGATGGGTGGTGCCCGCACACACCTTTACCTGAGGGGAGAAGTGAAAGTCGTCAAAGAGGCAGTGAGGATAGGAGAACTCCACAAAAGGGTTGCACTTCACGTTGACTTTGCGAATGTTCACGAGCCAAATTAG